GCACAATTCACTCCTGAACATACTTTTTAAAGTCCCATGTTGGTCAAGGGGAAGGGGCGGGTCTTAGCCTCCCTAACGTGAGCAGTATATTAATGATCTGTTCATATTCAGTTACGGGTCGTTCTCTTTCTTCTGTCTCGTTTCAGATCCAGACCCCTGCAGACGTCCTGGACCTGGATTCTCACATATGTGAGTTGTTTTTTTTATTATAATTCTTTGTCCCGGTCGAAGAACTCGATCGTGTTTCTAACTCTTTTAAAACGGTCTCTGCAGCGGACACAACGCTCCGGCTAAAGAGAAGCAGCCTCTTCACAGCTCCCTGCTGTCTCTGGAGCAGAGTAAGAGTCCATCGTCACATGATTCACAGGCTATTGTTGTGTGTTCGCTGCCTTTATTTAGTGACTCATTGCTCTTGAACATCTTGAACTCAGGGAGAGTTTTTGTGACCTACGAAGCCGACGACGACAAACACGTCAACGAGATCATCAACTTTGTGGCTCTGCTGCGACACAACGGCTTCGACACTCACGTATGTCTGAGGGTTTGCCTTTAGAGGCTGTTGAGTGTTCGTTTGGGGATAAAAACATTCTGACCGACGTCGCCATTTGTTTTCAGATCGACATCTTCGAGCAGCAGTTCAGGAGCATCAGCAAGATCGACTTCATGGAGCGCTACCTCAGCGAGGTGAGGAAACATCACGTCTTTGAACGTTATAACGACATCACATCACCAAGATCCTCTTCATCGGCTCTCTGGTTCACACTGTTAGATTCTACTGATCACTTTTAAAGCTCGTAGAACACATAGAAGAAATGTTTGACCCTTATGATGCAGCTCACAGCCTCAGACCCTCAGGTGGGGGGGGGGGTGTATCCACACTGGTCATAAAAGAGTCCACGCTTCTTACTGATGTTCACGTTTATTATTGTCCTCTCATGGGACACCGTGGAAACTAGAAGACACAAAATAGCTTCATGTACAAACAACAAAGAAACAAATACTCTGTCTCATCACCTACAACAAGTATAACAGTACTTTAATCAGTTACCTTAAGAAGCTTTACCGTGTTCGCCTGGTAGACCAGCAGGAGAATAACATGACGGGAAAGAAAAGGTTCGCTGGCTTCACCGCCATTTGTCGTCTTTCTGAGCTCCGCTTAACTTCCGGGTTAATGGTCGTGTTACAACAACAAAAGCTCGTCTATCATCATCAGTAAAACAAGGGCAAAACCATAATGAGTTTAACACAAGGTACCCAAAATTACAGTAAACATAACATGTATTATAATTGCAGAAATAAACTAATAATAATACAAATCGCGTAAGTCAACTTCCGGTGTTGTCATGGCAACGTTTATACTCCGGTCAGCGTGGGTCCAAAGTCCAGGCTGAAAACTAAAAGGTGTCCATGTTTATGCCATCAGGACCCCTCGGCTTTAAAACGACCTGCCTGAGGAGATGAAGCTCTTAAATCACTTCTTAAACACAACTTTACAGACTGGCTGTTATGTGATGTCGTCGCTTTACTGTTTTATTTGTATTTGTTGATTTTACTAAATTCTTTTATTTCTTTTTATTTCTCAGTTTATTTCTATCGTACCGATGTCTCACTGATCTTTGTTCTTATTATTTCCTTGTTTTTGCTGCTTCGTCTGTCAAAGCACTTTGTAAACTCTGTTTTTAAAGGTGCTCTAAATAAAGTTATTATTATTAAGTTACTAAAAACCACCTCTAATAGAATGAAGGTAGCATCACATGTTGTCGTCCCCCCCCTCCAGAAGGAGTACCTGATCATCATCATCATCAGTCCGAAGTACTACGACACCGTGACGGCCTCTCCTGTCGGTCAGAACGACGAGCGGACCTTCAACACGGTCTACATCCATAAACAGGTTCACGATGAGTCCTGAAGCCCAAGTTCAGACCCAGAAGAGTCGCTGTGAGGTCGTCTCTGACTCTGTGTTTGTCCCTCATAGCTCCAGAACGAGTTCATTCACAACGGGAGCAAGAACTTCAGGTTCATTCCCATCGTGTTCCCCGGGGCTAAGAAGGTGAGTTTCACACTCCAACGACAGAAGAATGTAATGAGTCGAATGAGACTGAGTCTACTCCTGTGTGATTAGACAAAAGAAACAAAGAACTAAAACTAGTGTGACTAGGGAGTGATCTGTTCTCTCTGGTAAAGTCACGTCTATGGGCGTTACGTTTGTAACACATTTTTCCAAATAGAACAAAGCTTGTTCCAGTCTGTAGACGGATGCTGTTATCTTCTCCGTGGTGTAAATGTCCGTTGGAGATCCATCATTAAATATTTGTCTCTTTTTGACAATGTTTTAGGTAAATATCACAGATGCATGCTCTTACTTTTCTACCTGTTGTGTAGGGCGGTGTGTTCCCTCTCCGAGAGTCTGTGATAACCGGGCAATCCCCAAAATATGAGTTTTAATTTAACCTCAAACCTCAGTCGTCTTTCTGTCTGTTTGTTTAGTGTCACGTCCCAAACTGGCTGCAGAACACTCACGTCTACCAGTGGCCGCTCCACCGCGACGACATCCTGCGGCGGCTGATGAGAGTCGAGAAGTACAACCCTCCTCCGATCGGAGAGCTGCCGACCATCGTCTCCATCCCCTTATAGAGACCTCGTGACCCCGTGACCCCTGGAGACGCAAAATAAACGCACCCTTTGCTTTTCTGGATCACTGCTGGAGGTGAACGGGGGGGGGTGTTACATGTGCAGGCGGTTTTTATCTTTTTATTTTGAGTGTGAATGTGATGTTTAAGGAGCAGTTCACCCCAAAAATATAAAAAATACAGTATGTGTGCTTCTTAGTGCTATTAATCAAATCAGGCCTGAACTCTGAAGAGGGGACGATGTGGAGGGTAGATCGTCCATGAAGTAGATTTCATTCTGCTGAAACTCACTTTGCAAAGGAAATAGCTGAAGAGCGTTCATCTGTTTCATGCGGTTTGTTGGTAACCCTGCTGACAATCACAAACAGCCCTCGAGCTTCTTACGCAATGGAAAGTCTGTTCACTGCTCCAGTTAATAGGACGAGCCTTAAACACGACTCCACCTTTGTCTCCGCTACAAGCCAGAAAGCTAACGTTCTGCTAGCATAGATTCAAAGTTTACATAACACGGCGTAGTACATTAGATTATTAATCATCAGTGGGGGAACTCATTTACCACCAAATCAACTCAGACAACAACAGACAGAAAAACACATTTCAACGAACAAATAAGACCATAAAAAGCCCTTTGAGACATTAATAACATCATAAAGATGCTAAATCTAAAATAATGTGACTGCTGCTGCAAGCAAAGAGCTTCTGATGGTTCAGTAGAACGCTGCGGTACATATTATGTTTAACAATAAGAGTAGATCCATCTGTCATCTATCAACGTAACGTTACGCCAGTAAGATTGAAAGTCAATAACGTTGAATAGAACTACAGGTGAGAGGACATGTGTGTAGTTTTTATGTTAGGGTGAACTGTCTCTTTAAGGGTGCTGCGTGAACCTTTCACCTTGTTGCATAAACATAATTAGTCTTTAAATTCCACAGAAAGGTGTCGGTGTTGACGTGAAGCCGCATGTTTAAATCTGTGACCTCTGAACTCTGCTGGTCCACTAGTAGAACGTTTACGTCTTTTTAAAGCTTCATTTGTTTTCTTCTCATGTGCATGTGTGTTGTATGATTTATTAGACACCATATGAGCTTTAATTTCACCAAGTCTACAGACGGACGTGTTGTCTTCATTATCAGAGTTGATCTGAAGCAAACAGCTGGATGCAGTTATTGTTGTTGAGAGTGAAACATAACACACGATGTCTGCAGACTCATTCACTTTTGTTATACTTCACATTATATCACATGATTAAATGTATATTGTTTTCATGTATTTCTACTCATAAAAAGGTGTTTCACAGGTAAACAGCGCTTCATGAATAAAGACAGACGACCTGATTTATGTTTCTGGAAGTTGATCGTCAGTCCTGAAACAAGTTGAACCTTTAAAACCACCGTAGAGCCACACGAGGTGAATCATTGTTTAAAGGTTGCACTGGACGTTATTAAGATCAAATAATTAAATGTGTTGAACTGAATCACAAACTGTTTATTTTGACCTGAGGAGGAAGCCTCGTGTAAACAATAAAACATCAACGTATGATTCAAAGTCAGATATTAAACATGCTATGGAGTAAATAATGAAATAAATATAAATCAGATCACATTACAGTATTAAATGTATTTATGATCAATTAAAACAAACAAACTCACAGATATCACCATGAAACTTCACCACTTCATCACTCACATTAAGATGATTGTTTATTGTATCACAAGTTTTATGAAATATTATGTTTAAATATGCAAATGAGGCTTTATGTAATGGTAACTTTTGGTGAATTTAGTAGAAATCTACAGACGTAAACAAAGTAGTAAATGAATATTTTATTTCCTCTCGTCTGACAGAAGAAGAGTTGTGGAGGAAAAAGAGACCAAAATCTATAAATTGATCAGAGAATAAAAAAGCATTTATAGAAGAATAAAAACGTCTCGAAGCTGAACGCAGCCCGCTGGTCTGTGGTGGTCTGTGGGTCTTTGGTGGTTGGTGGTGGTCTTTGCATCTTTGGTGGTCGGTGGTGGTCTTTGCGTCCTTTGGGTTGGTGGTGGTCTTTGCTTCTTTGGTGGTCTGTGGGTCGGTGGTGGTCTTTGCGTCCTTTGGGTCGGTGGTGGTCTTTGGTGGGTGTTTGAAGTTCGGATCACCAGCTATGAACCTGAAACATGATGACATCACAGTTCACAGACCTGCGACTGGGTTTGTTTGACGTTCGAGCAGCATCTCTGTTTTCTGTTGAAGACGGATGTTCGAGGGACGTTCAGCTTCTCGTGGCTCAAACAGGAAGTCGTCTGGAGATAAGCAGCTGACGCAGCCGCCCGCCGTGCTGCGTCGGCAAGTTCAGACTTCAACTGGGTCATCGTCACAACCTGTCTGTGGTTAAGAGGAAAATCACGTGCGACATTGTGACAACTCAAAAAGAAGAAGATAGCGTGAGCAGAAAATGCTCAAATGGTGATTATTGAGGAAACGTTGCTGATTAAAAACAGCCGAGCATCGAGACGTGGTTTAATGTTTTTATCTTCACAAGAGGTAACACTGCAGATGTTCATACAGACATCATAAAAAAAACATCTGAATACAGCGTCTCATATATTCATCCGTATATTGAAAAGTACAAGTAATAATATTAACTTTAATAAGATAACAAAAAGACAATGACATCTGTAATAAAAGTGGATTACAAAGTGACATTTGATGTAAATAACTCTTAAGAATGAAGTAACAGAAAACAAAGAATCAGACAATCGTTCCATTGAACTGAATGTAAAAACATTGAAGTGCTATTTGTTCAAAGCTACACGTAAAGAGCAGGAAGCGTTCTGTGTTCTTTTATTTCCTTCAAGGAAAAGTACTATAAAATAAGTTACAGTACAGTGAATCTGTCCCAAGATACTTTTGTTCCCGTCTTCCAGCTTTTTGTAAGAACAAACAGAAGTAACTCATACCCCCCCCCCCCCCCAAAGAAACCTGTTGTGGATAACTTGTTTCTAGAGTGTTTGTAAGAAAAAAACCTTCTAATCTTCACCATCCCCCCCGATAGAAAAAACAACTTTGTACTTCATGAGCTCAGAAACAATCTTCTGACAAATACTTCATGTTGAGTCACGCAGCACGGAGGAGAGCTCTCATACGTCGTCCGCTGGCAAAGGAGGTATGTTGAACCTTGGTCTTGTGAAAAAAGCCATCTTCTCTCTGCAGACAGAAAGAGAATGATTACTGTCACACACATGGACGTCAGGAATATCAACGGCTGTTTAACGAAGCAATGAAATTAAAAAATAAAAATGGTTTCCAGGCCGGGAGCATCGGGCTGAGCAGGAAAAAAGAAACGTTTCTCAGCTTCTTCCTGAGGAACCCTGAAGCGTTTCTTAGAGGCCGATCACAAAGAGACGCGTCGCAGCAAGAGCAGCCGCCTCAGAAACGCCGCGATGGCAAAGTGAGTAAAACAGCTGATAAGCCGGTGGAACGAGAGCTGCTGAGGGGGGGGGGACACTATCCTATAACTTGTTATGACATTCTCATGAGATACTGGACAATGACCTTTTTTGTCATGTCAAAGTGTAACATGTCGAAAACAATCTTATCTTCGGTTTCACTGTGACAGCCACGTTCCCAGAGGAGTACCAGTGAACAAGGAGTCAGTCAATGCCAACCTGAATGTCTGCACAGGGAGGGGCTCCTTGTGGCTCTGGCCCCTCATCTGCAGAACCTCTTTGGAAGCCTTCCTCAGCCGCCGCTCTGCCGCCTCCTCCTGACGCTGCTCCTGCTTGCTTTGGTTGGCCTGAAGCACAACAAAAACTATGTCAACCACCGCCGGGCTCTGGGCTGCATCTCACGGCCTAACCCGCCTCCGAGTCTCACCTGTCTCTGGGCCTCCCTGAGCAGGCAGCGGAAGCGCTCGTCCCTCAGGGCCCAGTGGGGGAGCTCCGTGGTATCTCTGGCTTGTGGGTCCTCCAGTCTCAGCTTCAGCTCCCTCAGGGCGCTCAGTTCCTCCATCAGCTGCCTCTGACGCGTCCTGCAGGCCTGGAGATCCAGCTCCAGGTCCAGGGAGGTACGTGTCGGCTGCTCGGCCAGGGAGGAGCGATACGACTGCTGCACGCACACACACACACACACACACACACACACACACGGCTCAGAAACTAGATACTAAACATAAACTCTTATATGTGCACGCTTGAAAAGAACGAGACTGTACCTGTTTGTATCTCAACGTTCTTCTTTCCAACGTGTTCCTGACAAAGGGCGATTTCTTTGGTAGCGTTGAGCTGTCACTGTCGCTGCGATACAACTGAAAAAGGGAAAGGCGGTTATTTTATGTAGCTGTGAAAACAGAAATAATGACAACACCACCAACATGAGAACTCACCCTGCAGACGTACTGACTACGAGCCCCAGGAGAGAAGGTCTGAGAGCGAACAATGGTGCTGCCGCGCATGAACGGCGAGGCGTGGCCCCAGCGACCCCCCCTCTCTTTGGGCCGGACTCGCACCGGCTCCGGGTACAGGCCTTCTGTCATGGTGGCCTTCTCCATCTGCAAAACACAAATCACTGAAATGGCATCTGTGCCACAGATTGTTAAGGTGCGTCAGTGGATAGAAGAGGAGCAGTGGGCCAGACTTGTACCTTTACTGTGGACAGTTTGCTGCTTGTCTGGTCACAGCGCCCCCCGGTGGTGATGCAGATGCCCTCTGCACACAGCCCCTCTGAGAAGGGAGCGATGAACGGCGTGCTGTTGCTGCAGCCGCTGTCCATCGACTCCGCCTGCCAACTCCTGCAAAAGCACACCCCCGTTGTCAACTTGCACAAATACGCTGGAGGTAAAACAATGAGTGCATTTTGTATTGTGACACGACAGAAGTTAATCCAAGCTGAAACATGCTGGCCACCTCTCAGACGCCACCTCGTCCTTCTTCTCCAGCCTCTGCAGCTCCAGCTCGGCCTCCCGTTCCTCCAGATGGGTGGTGGTGGTGGTGGTGGTGGTGCGGGACAGCAGAGCGTCCTGTAATGTCAGAAAGCAGATTATAAAACACTGTTAACATTCCTCCGCCCTCTGACAGTGTGGGTTCATTGTTTGTTTGGCATGTGAGACACATTCCTGTCTGTTACTCACTTTAACGAGCTGCACACCTGCAGACTGTTGGCTGAGAGCTGCTCTACAGCAGAATGAAGACGAACTCATCTCTGAGGCTTAATGACTTTATGACAGCAGAGTGATGCTATGCTAACACCTCTGGGTGATAGGTTCTCCACTGCGTGTGTGTGAGTGTGTGTGTGTGTGTGAGTGAGTGTGAGTGGGTGAATGTGTGTGTGAGTGGGTGAGTGTGTGTGTGTGTGGGTGAGTGTGTGGGTGAATGGGTGTGTGGGTGAATGGGTGTGTGGGTGAGTTTGTGTGGGTGAGTGTGTGTGAGTGGGTGAGTGTGTGTGTGTGTGGGTGAGTGTGTGGGTGGGTGTGTGGGTGAGTGGGTGTGTGGGTGAGTGTGTGTGAGTGTGTGTGTGAGTGGGTGAATGTGAGTGAGTGTGTGTGAGTGTGTGTGTAAGTGGGTGAATGTGAGTGTGTGGGTGAGTGTGTGTGTGGGTGAGTGGGTGTGTG